GGAGGGAGGGAGGGAGGGAGGGAGAGAGGGAGGGAGGCAAGGGGAGGAGGGAGGGAGGAAGAGAAAGTGCCAGCATAGTGCCTGGACCATGGCTAGCACACAAATGCTTGTGATGTTTCATATCAACACACAGTCATTTTATAAACAGTTTCTAGCATTCGCCCTACCTCTGGGACAAGTAAGAGTGACCCAATTCTCCCCCAGGGATGTTTGGCTAAGTGCAGAATACTAAGTTCTCTTAACTCAATGTTAATGTTAAGAACAAGCCATTATTATAAGCAGCCCTTTTAATGCTTATTTCTTTTAAATAATAAATGTTGAGAGGGGAGGATAATGGGGTATGGATTTGTTTCCTTAGTTGACAGTCATTGGACCCCTTTCTTGGTGTCCAGTTGCCTTGAACAGAGGAGTTCCAGGCAAGCAGCTACTCCCTAACGGCTGTGTAGATGACATCATTGCATCCTGGCTGCTTCAACCCCACAGGGATGCCTTAAGGAAGCATTACATTACATCACAGCTGCTTGTTAGCTCTGCTTCAGAGGGCAATATTCCGGGTACTACTCTGCTAAGCCATCACAAACCTCGGTAAACTCTATAACTCTTTTCACCTGGGCCAGAGAAAGAGCACTTGGCCCAGCAGAAGGGCCTGAAATTAGTACAAACACAGTCTGTGGTGTTTTGAATAAGAATGGCCCCCAGTAGGCTGACATATTTGAATGCTTAGAGAGAGGCACTTTTTGAAAGGATTAGGTGTGGTCTTGTTGGGGTGGGTGTAGCCTTGCTGAAGGAAGTGTGTCACTGAGGGTGAGCTTTGAGGTTTCAAAAGCTCAACCCAATCCGCCATGATATTAATGGACTAAACCTCTGAAACTGTAAGCCAGCCCCAATTAAATGTTTTTTTTATAAGAGTTGTCTTGATCAGGGCATCTCTTCACAGCAATAGAACACTGACCAAGACACGGTCCTTCATGCAAACACCACACCCTCCCATGCTCTTCCCAGCTGTACAGACTGCTCAGCCCACTTTTCAAGTTAACAGGGAGACAGCCTCCTGTGGCCACAGAGCAGTGTGAGGTGGCAACATGAGGAAGAGACACCAGAAGCACCAACAGGAAGATGGCAGCCCGGAGGGAGGCGGCAGCCGGGAACGGGGCAGAGGCAGCAAAAGTGGGCGAAACAGTGAATTGAAGGCAAACAGGAAGCCAAAGCTGAGAAAAGACTTGAGTTTTCCAACAGCCAAAGATAAGGAACTGTGGGGCCTGGTGGCTAAAGAGTTTCGGGGAGCTGCCAAGCCTTGAGGGGCACAGGGTACAATGAAAGCTAAGGAGTGTATGAGGGGCCCAGTGCCCTGGCTGCTAGTGATGAAAACAAAGAGGGAACACACCACCAGCTTGGGCATCGGCGTCTACATGGCTCTAACTTCAAAAGCCTGACTCTCATGGCTGGAAGCTGAGAACACTGGGGTCTTCTGAGCAGCCCTGACCTTGGGCAACCACAGGCCGGAGACTGCCATCTAGAGTCTCTCCTCTCCTCCACTGTCTAGATAGAACAGAGGACACTGAGAAGTGGAAACAGGTGGACTTTCAGTCCCAAGACAGAGTTCAAGCTGCCTGAACGCAGAAGCCAACTGAGCTAGACTGAATAATCGGGGCAAGCGATAAGACGGAGCTCACGGGAGCCTCAACGGGAGGCAGAAAAGGTGATGAAGGGTACTTAGTGCAGAGTCAGGTCGTTTTCTTCTAGAGCTTCCAGGCTCCTGCGCAAAGGTTTTGTTTTTTAATTGGGCTTTGTGTTTGTACATCACTCCGTCTAGTTTTTGTGTTGATCCCAGACTCCATCGCAGTGGAGGGCAAAAGAAGGTGTTGGGGGGGCAGATACTGTGCAGCCCAGCTTCCTGAGCTGGGGGACCTCCAGCTGTGATAGCCCATCCCCCCACACACATCATTCCCTTCAATGTGGTCATGCAAAAACAGGCTCAGTGGCAGTCAGATACCTAGCAGCGGCACACCCAGAGTGACCAGATGGCGCTGCCAATGGTATCGGAGTGTCCTAGGGCACTCCCCCCCTACCCCCACCCCTGCCAGTGTGCCCTTCCAAGGCAGAGGGGAATGTGCATGAGGTTGGGGCTTAAGGTCACTTGCAGGTGGCATAGTAGAGCACACGCCCATTGATGTAACCACGGATCTGCTCCACGTGCTTCTCCAGCCCTGACAGGTCTGCTGAGCGCAGCATGATGGCCTGACTCCCACGAAGCAGCTCTGACTCCATGTCTGAGGTGGATGGAAACAGCCATGGGGAAGAATCAGAAGGTGAGATGACTCCCAGCCTGTCCTTCCCCTTCCCCTTCCCCTTCCCCTTCCCCTTCCCCTTCCCCTTCCCCAACCTGGAGACAGCAGGGACAAGTGTCTCCCCTGAGCGCAGTCAACCACTGAAGCAGACAGTTATCACCTACCACCCACCACTCTGGCCCCATCCCGCTCCAAACCTGGCAGGCCTGGGCCCAGACCTCCTCTTGGTTTTCCCTTTGCCTGTCCCTCTCCTCCACTCCAGGCTCCCAGTTATCCCAGGGTGAAGAAGGAGTGTGCAACCCAAGTTGGGCACGCAGACCCCTGAATCCTACCAATGACCTTCAATGGATGCTGGGAAAAGCTGGCCAGGTGACTTGATCTTTCACTTTGTCCTCCGTAAAATATCACTCCAGGAAAATGTAGGTCTCCCCACCCCAGTGCATTCTCATACCATCCACAGATAAGACAAGAGGTCTGAAGTTCTCTAGAACAACCCAGGCAGCCTGGCCTCATGCAGGAGTCCCTGCTCCCGTACTGTGATAGCCTGTATTTTGCCAGGAGTAGGGAGGGAGTGTGGACTCCCTACTGGGGCAGCATAGGGCAGCCCTAGCTATGTCAGAAGTCATCTTCTCAAAAGGCCAAATCTGACCACTTCTTGCTTCCATCCACACAGCTGCCCCACGCTTACCTCCTGGGGGATAGGAGTCTGTCTATTGTGCTCCCATGGGACAGTATGTCCAAGACAAGCAACTCAATTCCTCAGTTGCTATAGCGTCCCTTCCCCTGCCTACCCTGGTTCCTCTCCTCCTATGGATGCAGGTCTGCCAGTGTTCTCTCTGAAGATGAGGTAGCCCTCACCATCTCCAGCAGAGTGCAGCAGCATTGGCCCTGGGCTGATGTGCAGCCAGTGGGCCTCTCTACATGGAATTTCAGGTTGATAGACACTGGAAGCATCCGTAATGTTAAACAGCCACTCTTCGTTTCCTTGGCCCCCAGTCCCAGAGGATCCCAGACAGACAAATCCTCACAAGCGGATAAACTCCTGCTCCCACGCCATGTGCCGAGACTTTTCCGTTTGCTGGGACCAGGCCACGCCGGGTGTTAAGTCATTTCACCCTTGAGCTGGCGCCTCCTGTTCGCCCAGATGCCTCCTGTTTGTTACGTCTTCTGGCAGTGAGCAACACATTGCTGACTTAGAACAACTCGTGGTGACTCAGAACTCTCGAGTCTCTTTCAGGTGAGTAATGGCTTGTGCTTGCCACCATTTACCAGTTACAAAGTGCTTCTGGTGGCATAAGCCACCATGAACAGAGAAGCTTCACCCAAGCTATGGTTTAGTGATAGAGGCCCAAACAGCGGTAGCGGTAACTTTCCCTCTTCCATAATTTCACCCAGCTGGTTCTAGCCCCCCATTTTAGACTTTTGCAGTGATCCTGTTTCCTGGTGTGTTATCTGCCATCCTCAGATGTGATAAATTGTCATCTGTAGACACAGTATTGCTGGACAAGGCCAGGACAAGTGCTGACCCAGCCTCCAGCTCTCGTCTGGGGTACATGTTCACATTTCTCAGCAACTCGCCATAAACACACCAACCTAATCTCTTCTGCATGGTGCCCCTGTCTATAAATGAGACTTTTGCCAACCATTTTTTATTGAAATGCAGATGAATAGTCTGAACTATTGCCCTGGTAGGGAGTACACACTCCCTCCCTACTCCTGGCAAAATACACGCCCGTCAGTTCATCGGTCCCACCATCACATCTATGGGTTGTCAGGTTCTTTAGGAATGCCTCCTTCCGGAGGCTATTGTTATGTTTCAATGTTTCACACCCTCAGATGGTTCGCAGCTGTGTCCACAAGTCTGTCCTCACCATCAGGGCAGCATGCTGCTGTCCCCCCAGACTCCTCACTGCATTCCTCTCCTTCAGGGTGTGAGGCCTGTCACATCTTGAGAACACCCCCTCCCTTCTCGCCACCATCCTCCTGAGGCCCTTCATCATGCTCCAGCCTCCCCCAGGCCTGTGCCTCCTCCCTCAGATCTTACCCCTCTGAACATTTCTCTCTGGCATTGACTGCCCTCTGAGCCGCTAGAGATCTGTGTCTTTATCGCTGACACAAGTGTCACTATATAGCAAAGCATGCGTTGTGAGGGCAGCAGGAGAAAAGGCTCCAGCTGGACTGTGAGCGTCCCCGGGACAGGCCATGGGACCTGCACATCTCTGCATTCCTGTAGTCTCATCACACATACTAGCTGCTCAATTAAGTCTTGGCTGTTCTCATTCCCTTAGCACTGCTGGCTTGGTGCCAATAAGAATGAGTTTTAGGAGCCCCAGAAGGGATGGGCTAGTGAGATGGCTCACTGGGTAAAGGCACCTACCTGCCACCAAGCCTGATCACCTGAATTGGATCTCCAGAGCCCACAAGGTGGAAGGAGAGAACCATCTTCTGCAAGCTGACCTTTGACCTCCACAGGCATGCTATGGCAATGTGTACTCACACATGTGCACAAACACATACACACAAACACACACACACACACAGAGAAAAAAAATAATTAAAAAATATTTTAAAGAGCCGGGCGTTGGTGGCGCATGCCTTTAATCCCAGCACTTGGGAGGCAGAGGCAGGGGGGGGTCCGTGGGGTCGGGGGCAGCCCCCCCCCCCCCGCCAAGGGCAGGGGAGGG